TGAGTGCACACAGACACAAATGTACAAGAAACAATTACATAAAACAAAAGTGAAGGGGCTTTATGTTGTTTGAATCATTTACAGTGATGTAGAGTGCTTAAAGCAGGCACCAACCATTTCGCCCCCCTCCCTATAGAACGTGCCACATGTTAGATTTAATGAAAGCAGCAGCTGCCATCGTTTGATCTATAGAATTGGAAGAAAAAGCAGCAAAAGCAGAATAACCAAAGCATGAGAAGAGACTACATCAGGGCAGTCTACAAGAGTGAAAAACGGTCCGTGTTTAAAAATAACAAACCCACCTATGGGAGTTTTCCCTTTTGAGGCGGCTGTTCAAGAGAAATCATAAACAAAAGAGCAAATTAGGGAACCCGGATAGGGTGGGATGGGAAATACAAGAATATATCTCAGAAAAGTACATTAAAGGACAGATGAGAAAGACTTAAAACAAAACTCTAAACCACAGAGAATCCACTTTCAGATTTATTTAGGAAATGAATTAGACATCCTCAATCTATACATCAAGATTAAGGGGTTTCTGCGGTGCTGATGTCTGCACATTTAAGTTCTTTAACTGGCACATAACGTTACCACTGGATATAATCTATTCCCCAGGCATTGCGGGACATATTTATACCCCTTGAAAACCCTAAGAGCTGAAAAAAAGTCTTTATCTCATACACATTACAGCAAAATATGTATTAATGTACAATCTGCCTGCTGTGTGATTTACTGTACTGTCAGTTTATCAAGTTCATTTGTCCCCGTCTCTGTGGTACATAGCATCTGTCTCTTTATGGAGAAGTGATTGCCTCTGATCTGCAGCAAAATGACTGATGAGCCTGTGTAGGTGCAAATGAAGGATGTAAAGTTAGAATCTGCATTTGATTGCCTTTTTTAAAAGAGCCATTATTAGATATTCTTTTCAGTAGTTAGAAGAAATCTTGTTTGTGTTGACGGTGATGTTTTATGGAAAAGAACAAGGGCTATGATGTGAAACTCAGTGTAAGGAGACTAGGAGGCTACATTGTTTTGCCCATCTGTGAAGCATTATGCTGTGTGAAGTGACTTGTGCTATATCCTATGCAAGTCATCCTCCAGTAATTGAACTACAAAAACAAGTACGGCTCAGATGAGCTTCGCAGGCGTCTCTTTAATGTTCACGCAAACACATATTCACATGGTTTCCAAAGCTAAACCATTTCCTTTGCAGTGCAACAACATGTCTAACACAATCATAATTAGCTGTACGCATGGAAACTCCAGATGGCTGACGTAATGCAAGAGAAACGAGCTCTGTGGTTCTGAGTGGGCTGTTCTCTTACACACTCACACACAGTTTGAAGTTGCCATTCTACAAGCCTCTAAACAGGATTAGCACATTAGGAGGAAAGCACACTTTCACCATCTTGGATCTGAGCCAACTTGTTCTCTGACTAAGATAGTTTGAATGTTGATTAAATGCTTCTGTGTAATCTCATGAATGGATGATTAATATGCTTTTAAGTGAATTAAAAGTAGATGTTTTAAGCTGCGAGCATTTTGAAGATTTGGGATTTCTCTATATAATTACTCATTCAAGTATTACATTTGTTTATCCATCCAGCTATTTAAAACTCATTTGATAAAAACATTTCTACTTTATTTTTCCCTAGAAACTCCAACTTTTACTCTGGACACGGAAGACTGGATGTCCAACGAGGGGTACAGTGACTCCACCCTTCTTCCAGACTGCAATCAAGAGCGCTCCGGGATCTGCAACCTCTCCGACTGGGACTTCACAACCTCCTCGGACATCAAACCAACACAAACACCACTGTCACCACTGTCACCAACCAAACTGACGAACCCTTCCTGATCCCAGCTCCACCAATGTTGGTGCCGCTGTACACCGACTGGAACAGTGCCATGGCAAGCTTGGGGCCTTGGCCTGGGATGTGCATGTTTACGGTGCTGGCTGCATCTTTGCAATGCTAACCCTAGCCTTGCACTCCAATCTGCTCTGCTTGCCACTACGATGCCCATCCGGATGTGGTTACTTTGCCCTGGTTAGCTTGTTTCTACTAGCTGCTGGCTGCACAAGATCTTTCTCGCTCCTTTACGATGCCTATGGCCACCAGGACCTCCTACCCTCCACAGAGGCGTCACTAATACTCTACGAAGCACCGTTTTCCCTGTTTAACAGCGGCCTTCGGTCTGGTTTTCCTTCTCCTATCCATGCGCTCGAGAATGCAGCTCTCGTACTCAGCTTTCCAGAGACCCTGTTTCCTGGCCTGCCTGGTTGTCCTGCACTTTGGTGCCGCATTTGGACCAGTGACCTTACTGAAGTTCTACACAGAACAAAAGCCTCCCCATTGCCTCTTTCTTGCACTTATCTCCCGTGGAGCCTTTGTAGCACTGGCTTCATTTCTATCTGTTGCCTATTTTGTGTTCTACATCTACGTGCGGGCAGATTCGAAACACATCTACCACCTGAATAACACATCTCCAACGCCCGCTGAGCGCTACAACCGCTGCCCTTTGCTGAGAGCCGGGACTGGAATCGTGCAGCTGTAACAGTCTGTATGTCAGCATTGTTTTGTTTAGCTTGTGCAGGACTGCAGTTATTTGCAATGCTCAATGCTATGGGTGTTGTAGGGGGAGAGGAGGTCTTTCACCCATGGCCATGGTGGGCTTTTCAGTTTAGCTGCAGACTGTGTGAGCTCGGGGTTTGTCTCACCTTGGCCTTGGTGGTTGCACAACCAGTCTACTGTTCTGACCACCTCCCAGCTGCCGGGAGCTGCTGGACTGAACTGTTGGCATCAAAGTCGCCCATCATGCCTGGGAGCTACCAGTGGACCCTGAGCCAGCAGGAGAAGCTTGCAATTGTCGATACCATGGGGCTTGGAGAGATAGAGAGCCTTCCTCTTTACACCCTGGTGGATGAGAGGCTTGGTAGCAGTATGAACGGCCTGGACCTTCTCTACCACAGCAACCGGGCCTTGGCCTACCGAGACCTGGACTTGGATTTGGACTTCAAGGGTTCAGGGGCTCCTGCAAATGGAGGAGGCAGAGATCCCTCAGGTGGATCCTCGTTTACCAGTGACTCCACCGCAGACCTGCGACCGCCTTCGCCAATCAACCTGCGTCGCAGCATAGACGAGGCACTTTTCAATGAGGCCCTCTTTCCTATGAGCCTCTTTAGCCCTACTCGCAGCAGTGATCTATCAATAAACAACCACTGTTCACTTCTAAGCAAAGGGCTTTGTGATCCTCTCTCAGCTGACCCTGGCCTTATCGGACCTCTTCCTGCGTGGAGATGCCTTCTCAACACTTGCCCTCTTGCGCCCATCTCAAGGAGACACTCTCGTAGGTGCTCCACCATCTCCCTCTCTGTCCTCATCCACGAGCAGTTCCTCTCCTGAACGTTGGAGGGGCAGCTCATCCTCTTACTCCCCCTACCGTGAATCTTTCGGAGGCTCCTCGCTGGTCCTCTGCCCGAGCTCAGAGAGACATGCTCAGCAGATTCTGCAGCAAGGGGGTTTAGGCCATGGGGCATCCTCTGGCCACCAGGGCCACTCTGACCAACTGAGGCACTACCAAACACTCGGCGCTGCCTCACAGGAGAGCCTAGACCTGGACGTGTCGTCTGAGGCAGAACCGATCCGTTCAAGAGGAGTTCATCAGTGTTTGCAGACAAATCGATTCTTACAGCATCTGCAGCGAGACTATCGATTTATAAAAGGACAGTCTGGTCAAACGGGTTACACAGAAGACTCATTAAGAAGGACTTTAGTAGGGTGACTGTAAAGGCAACCTATTTGGTAGTGCATGGTAGCTTTTCCATATGCCATAAAAGACCAATAGCTGCCCAATTTACATTTTTGGATGTTTGATTAACTTTCTTATGTGGTCATTAGTGAATGTCTTTAAGGGTCTAAGTGCCAAGAATGTCAAAAGCCAAAAGGTCATTTGTAACTTTTTCATGTTTGATAAAGGCTGGTTTGATACAGTCAGAACTATAGTTACATTTACTGAGAAGAATTTATTTGTACAAATGTCTTTATTGCATTCCAACATTCCAATAGATAGTACTGTGACTAAAACTAAGCACTTATTAATACTACTGAAGTAATATGCTTTCATATTAAACTGAATATCATTGTCATTAAATATAATGTTAAATAATTGGAATAAGAGTTACGTTTCTATAAATGCTCCGTACCAATATATGCTACATCTTATTTGCAGCTCTAATACAGCAGTGCCCTCTACTGGTCAAACCTACACCATGTTACCTTATCCTTCTACATGTATGTATGTAATGGACCGTGCTTCTACATACACTGACAGCATCTTCTTTGGACCGGCTAAATCATTTATTTATGTTCAAACATAACTTTGCTCGGCACATTGTTTAATAAAGTTTGTTTTATAACATTTGGTTTATTTGACTTAAGGTGCAGAGACATCCAGCAGTGTGACTGCAGCACATGTTCAATAAGACAATAATCCATACAGTTTGATTTATTTATTATTTTTGTATCATATTGAAAGCAACAACAACCTTCTTTTGTTGAGTGTTGTCCTGTAAACATGTTCCAAAGTGATATTCCTCAGGAACCCATTATGGATTGTTGCATTCTGAGTATTTCCCATCCATCTAAAAAGTATTACTTATTGTTTTGGTTGTTGGTTGCAGAAGCTCCTGTAGCTTCTTTGCAATATATTGAAGCTGAAATCATACAAAAGTGCAACACTACAAAAGAAAGAGGACTTTTTAGATGGACTCACGGGACTCAGTACAAACATGACATTTAAAAAACCTGAACTATCTCTTTAGATGGGGAAACTGAAAATAAGCAGCAGTCATTTCCAACTGGATATAGGTATATGTTTCTCCATATATTTAAATTGTACAATGTGTTTGCAATTTAGGCAAATTGCAAGGCTTTTGTTAGTCAAGGGGACCCTGTGCAGGGTTAGGTACATTAGTATGTTAAAGAAATCATATCAGCTCCTACAATCTGGGACATTTTTATTAAAAAAAAAGACATCTGGCCAAAAGGACATCCAGAATGGGAATGTTAGAAAAGCCTACTCCTACATAAGCTGAATGAGAACAAAGGAAGCAATGCTGTTTCAAAGTAAGAAAAAGAGGCAAGAGGAAGGGTAGCATTAGGCTTTTTCACTGAGCTGTCGTGCAGCCTGTATCCATCCCTGTTTCAAGGTATATCTCCGGTAACAAGAAAAGAAACACATCAGAAACAAAGTAACCCCACACTGAGAGAACTGAGGAATGAACAACTGACGAGGTAACAAGCGACTTCTCGTGCCAATTTTGGTTTTGAAATTACAAAAGGAAAGTGTGAAAGGAAGTGAAAAGACACTTGGCAGTACGTATGTCATTACAATGAAGCAGAATATAAATACAGCCATGTTTGGCTTAGTGAAAAAACAAACATGCATATCAAAACCATTTCATGCTCAATTAAAATCCCCCCAAGACTATACAGTTTCATATAAAGCTTCTTTTATCTAAAAGTATTCAAATTACGGGCAGAGTATATGAACAATTTTTATTTGATTTATACGTTTTAGGTTCTTTCAAACATACCTGATCTTTAGCTTTTTGGTCCCTTCCATGCTCAACATATGAGCAATGTGCATGGAGATGGGACACTGATTATTAGTCAAGAGGTTGTTGAGGGGGAAATTAATGTCCAGGCTGTGGGTCTGGGTTTTGGCTTTTGATCGTAGGGGACAATGGAGGATAAAGTCAACAGGATAATCTTCGCAGCTTATGTCTCGTACCTCGGGATCCACAAAACAGGAAGTAAACAATATGCAATGAATCAAAAGCAGCTACTGTACGTTAAGTAGCTTTTACATTTAATGACTTAAAAATGCACAAAAAAAGAATTACGATTGCCGTGATGCACTGACACACTACACATAGAAAGTGTTTTGCCTTGTTTTTCGCATGTACTAGTGTGTTAAGAGCTATGATGTGAGGCTTCAGAGGGAGGAGCGTGCTGTATGTAAGCGTGGATCCCAAAAAAGCCAGATAAGATGCTGATGTGATTTGCAAAATGGCTGTTGTAGACTCAATAATAATAATGATTATAGGACAAATAAACGCAGTGCACCTTCACTTTCTTGAAACACATTTGAAACTCAGACACGCACCTTAATCCACCAAACCCACACGCAGTTCCTTCTCTCACCGCCATGAAGACACAAAACACGCTAAAATGGGATCAGCCACATATTCAAGATACAGGTGTGTACGTGATTCCCAAAAACTCAGATGTGCCACTTCTTGAGTGCAAAATCCCAGGTGTTCGGAAAGTCGGGTTTCAGTTTGAAGGTTCTCATTTTGCTACTATGCCTCTTTCCTCCCAAAAACAGCTTGTTAGACTCAAGAGAGAGTAACGGTGGATAGTACGGAGGAGAGGGCAGAGAGGGTGTAGTGGGAGGTGCGTATTTGAACAGAAGTGGCAATTTAACATTTGGTCACTGTTAGATTGGTTGTGTCAGGTGCCCCGATGATCTGCATTCCATCCCCCCGCTCAGTAAAGCCGCTTCTCGTAACTGTAGAGGCAGAGAAAAACCGTGCAGAAGTTAGCGCTTGCTTGATTATAAATGTTAAGTATTTCCGCTACATGTCCACTAACTGCGTTTATTCAGCAACCTAGTTTAACATGTTTTCTGAATGCTTTCGGCATAAAACTGCTAAATCTGCATTTGCACTAAAGTAATGGACGTGTGACAAAGTCTGGGGACACAAAGCAAGATTTGGTGTAACAAAAGAGAAGCTTGCTTTTGTGCTTTTAAATCAAGTTTGCTGCTCGTAAAGTTAATAGCAATGGAATTGAAAATGCCAACACTCCTTGTTGCATTGCCCCATGTTTTCTTGTAACTCAGGGGGGCTATATTACAGGCAGTAGAGTCATTTTGTAGGCAAGCGGTTTATTAGCAATGTAATAAAGAAATAATCTATGAGCGAAGACAAGGGAATCAGTTTAGAGCTCCCATTCCTGCTTCTTGGACAGATTACATCTGCCCTCATTGTAGCAACAGCTTCTACAATTCGTTTTTGCTTTATTTGTAATGGGGAACAACAATTGAATAATGCAGATGATAATAATAATAACGTTAATGATAATAACCTTAAAATGTAAGATTTATTTTTGCATGATGCTGCCAGTGAAACAAAAACAGATTACATGTTTTGCTGTCCCAGAAGAAAATGTACTTAACCTAGGTCTACTAGTGTACGACTTAACACAGAAAGTCATGTTATTGTGTGTTTTGCACTTACGAGTGGAGTCCATGGACTCCTCCCTCCACCTGTGCAGACATGGTCCTTTTTTCGAACTTCAGCTCCCCAGAGTACATCATGGAACTGAGAAAGAAAGAAAGATAGTAAGACACCATGGACAAAAACATGTTAAAGCTTCCATATTACAAGCAGAAATTCCAGCTAGTACTCACCGGAGAACAGAAAGACTCTTTGCCCCGATGTCCTGGCAGCCGTGCTGGATCCCAGCTATCAGGTAGGGTACAAACTTGTGGATGGAGCCCTTGTCTTGGACCGACCCCGACACCCCCTGGGCCACCTTCACATTGTCACCCTCACTGTGGAAGCACATCAATCAATATTCCTCCAGTGTCACCACAGCATGGGAAAAGCTTTCACTACTTTTAGCCTCCACATACCTAAAATAGCGTTTCTGGCTGCTGGTGCTCTTCTCCATAGCATCCAGGGAGCCCATGCCACGGTACTTTTTCAGCCGCACACCGTCAGAGAAGAAGTACTCCCCTGGTGCCTCAGTAGTCGCCGCTAGCAACGAGCCCATCATAACTGGAGTGGGAGACAGGAGAGAATTATCTGTCTGATTACACAACCTAATCATTGCTGCAGTGATAAACCACTTTGTTGCTATGAAGACTGGATGTTTCAAAGATCAACGCGAATAGATGAGGCATTTTTATCCCACACGGTTACAACACTCCATGTCAAAATCTTTCAGGTCTCACCAGTGGACGCTCCGAGAGACAGAGCCTTCACCACATGGCCCACAGTCTGAATGCCCCCGTCAGCGATGACTGGCACCCCGAACCGCCTGGCGTACTCTGCCACCTTGTACACCGAGGTCCCCTGAGGCCGCCCGCACGCCATGACTAGAAGGTAGGGAACAGATTTGATGAGTGACGTGGCAACAGATCAGGAACAAAACAAGCACATTTTTGGGGAAAAGAGATCAGAATCTAAAATTAAATGTAGTAGTTAAAGCGATTTAACTGGTGACTAAGAGTTATTTCAGGTGAAGCACGTATTTTCTATTCTTGTTGGTGAACGTGACCCAGTTTGACCAGGAAACCTGTCCCCATGGCAACCCAGAATGGGGCCTTGCTAGATCACCATGACAACTAGGAAGATATTCTTTACTGTTAGCAACCGATAGCCTTTTCTCTTCACTGCAGCTCATAGCCAGATTAATAAACGGTACAGCAAGGATTCATTTTCTACATTTTGAAATATGCGATTCCTTATCTCAATTATTCTTCTTTAGTTCATGCAATAACAGTTTATTTTAAATAAAGAACAAGGGCTGCTGACCTTCCTGTGTGATGCAGATGGAGCCGCAGCCCATGCCGACTCTCAGAGCATCGACTCCAGCATCGATCAAATTCTTGGCCTGGGCTGCTGTAACCACTGCAGAAGAGAAAGAAAGTGTCAGTAAATGTGCACCAAGAAGCTTAGCTATTCAGTGAGTTCTATGCGTACAAATCAGAGTCTTCTGAATAAAATAATGTCTGTATAGGAGCAATAAAGACACAAACTCACCATTTCCTCCCACTACTTGCAATTCTGGATGCTTCTGTTTAATGTAACTTATCATGTTGATTTGATACACAGAGTTGCCTTGTGAAGAGTCCTGGAGAAGCAAAACATTCATGGTTTAAACACAAGGACATTAGATTAGAGCAGTGGTTCCCAAACGGTGTGCCGCGGCACACTGGTGTGCCGTGAGGCAAGTCCGGGTGTGCCGTGGGATTTTGTGACAACCATACGTTATTATTGCAATATACAACAACACAAAAATAATAATTTTTTTATTTACTATATCAGTACTTTGTAGGTTTATATGTACGTAATCTGCGCGACTTGTGCGTCCACATCTCCACGTGCAGTGCTGCATAAACATGGCTGAGTCAGCGATAACTTTCGAGGGGTGGAGGTATGCCCATTATTTTGAGTTCGTCCGAATAATAGACAGGAACGTGACGGTGAGGTGCAAACTGTGTCCAGGCCAGAAGCTGTTATCCACTGCTGTAACACCACGTGGTCAAACCTCAACAAACACCTGCAAAGAACACATGCTAAGGTGAAGCTACCGCACACGCTATTTGTTGTTTGTTTATATCGCGTAGTCTGTTCTTCTTCTCTGTCTTCCGGTTGTGGTCTGTTTTGAATGACGAATACACACTACCGCCGCCTGCTGGTAAGGAGAGTTATTGCCACTCACGCATGCGCAGTACGTACGTGCTCGGCGAGTAAAGTAACGAGTTACTTTATGTAGATAGTAACGAAGTAGTTTAATATATTACTTTTTTTTTTTAAAAAAGTAATATGTAATATATTACATTTTTTTTAGTAACGACCCCATCTCTGGAGTTGGCGTTCTCTACTGATTTACATGAAGAACAACAGGAGGTCACGGCTCTCTGTTGAACAGGACTTGCGAGTGGCCCTCTCCTCAGTGCCACCAAGGATTAAAAAATTCTGCGCGCCCCAACAGGCACATGTATCTCACTAATTTGTAAGTCGGCAAAATATTTACAATAGCACATGTTTCAATGCTGATTGCTGAAATGTTACATTTATAATTTGTAGTTCAGGACCATGGACAATGCAGCTTCCTTGCATTGACAGTTCTCTGTGCTGAATTTCTGCTGAGTTTCCTTTGCCTCATTTTTTATGTTGTGACCTGTCTGGTTTAAATGAGTGTGTTGCTGCTTTGATGAAGCCTAATTTGATAAAGTTTCAAATTAATTTCTGAAATATTTCGTTAATAAATATTTCATGAGTAATATAGTTGTCTTTGTCACATTTTATTTGGCATTAGTAAATAATTATGCACATTTACAGATATTTTACATGATATGAGTGATAACACGTGTTATAAGGGCTGTTTTCTACAATAGGTGTGCCTTGAGATTTTTACTTGTCCTTTGGTGTGCCTTTAGGGCTGTGCAATTAATCGTATTTTAATCGCGATTACGATTATGGCTTGCGACGATTAGGAAAACAGCATAATTGACAAAATACGATTATTTTGCTGGGTGCGCTTTCGCCCCTCCCTAAAAGCCCACTCGGCCACGTGGGAGTGACATGTGTTGTGAGTGTTCAGCGCAAGCGAAGATGTCAGAACAAGAGCAGCAACTAGTTAAAAAGAAGGGTCGCGGGGAGATTCCCAGTCGATCGCGAGATGTGTCTAAAAATAGAACAACAATATTCTGTTTTATCGTTAATGTCCTGTAACATAATGTTCCCGTGCCAGAATAATGCACTTGAACGCATCAAAGCTTTGTGATTGGCCGGCCTCACCCCATGTGTCCGGGCGTGGCTGGTGAGCAGTGCACTAGTTCGCTGACGTTGTCCGTGTCAACAGCATGGATGGTCAACAGGAGTGACAGTCCGCACACACACAAGACCGCAATTATGGCAGAAGCAAAAAAGCCCAAAATATATAATTTTCACTCCGAGTGGGAGGATCATTATTTTTGTATCTATTCCAATTCAAAGTCCATCTGTCTCATCTGCAATGCGAGCGTGGCTTTATCGAAGAAGGGTAATTTAGGAGCGGCATTTCAAAACTGCACAAACGCTACGAGACGGAATTCCCTCCTAATTCTGCCCTACGCTCCAAAAGGGGAGGGGCCTGAGAGCACAGCTAAATGCACAGCAGTCCATTTTCACCAGGCTCAACAACAAGAGCAAGGCTGCTACCAGAGCATCTTATCGTGTCAGTCACGTTCTTGCGAAACACATGAAGTCTTTCGAAGACGGCGAAGTTATGAAAGAAGCTTTCCTGGAGGCTGCGACGCGCTTTTGTGGGACAGTAAAAATAACAGCAGCATTTCAACAGGTTTTTGATATAATAAAAACTCAATTTAGATACCGTTATTAATCTGCTGTAAGTTTTGGTTTGTTTGAATTTATTCATGATAATTATTGTACAAAATGGTATAAGAATGCAAACATTAAGATCTGTTCTGTTTAAATTGATTATAGTCTATCAGTTCAGAAACTAGTGTTGCTTGCATCCTATTTTAAAGGCATTTATTTTTATACTCTAATAAAATGCAACAAAAAATGGGTTTGATTCCATTAATGTTGTCTTTTTTATTGCACTGTTGCTGCAGCAGATTACTGTGTAGCTTCAGATCTGAGTTGTCTTATTAGTAAGCCTAATTTATACTTTTGTAGCAACACTATTTTTATATAATGGCAAAGAAAGGGTTCTTCAGAGTCTTTTCTTTTTTTCCTGTGTCAGCACTGCCACAAGTTCCTCTTCAGAGAGGGTCTTCAGTACAGGTGGCAATATTGTCACCTGCCTGCGCTCATCTCTGAAACCAGACCATGTAAACAGGCTGGTATTTCTTGCAAAAAATCTTTAAGAGATGACACGAGCAGCCCTACCAGCATTTGCCATGGTGGCCTAAACATTTTTATTTGGTCTTAAATTGTAGTTCAACATTTATTTCCTGTTACTTCTGGACCATGACGGTTGGCCAGCCTTCAACGTTTAACTGAGTGGAATATGTTGAATATGTTTTACCAAAATGTTGGCTATATGTTAAGGAGTTTTCAGTAGGTTGTGACAGTGCACTGCAACATGTTTGATTTCATTTATTTTGGTCTAATTTATTTTTATTTATCATATTAATATATGTTTAGTATGGTTTTGGAAGTGCGCTCCAACACATTTATTGATCTTGTTTATTGGTAAAATATTATTTGTTTTAAAGTTCAATAAATGGTCAATGAATAATCGTCAAAATAATCGTGATATCAATTATTGACCAAATAATCGTGATTATGATTTTTGCCATAATCGCACAGCCCTAGCCTTGGGCACAAAAAGTTTGGGAACCACTGGATTAGAGTATGCAAATGTCTCACACAGATAAGACAGGCTAAGGAATGCATACAGTGTGGATATCACTGTAGATGTGTAATTCCCACACAGACAAAATGTTGCTTATACTTACTGTAAATATTGATAATACCTATAAATGAGTGAATTTCCAGTTTTAAACAAAACTGGCTTTGACCTTTCCTTTATCTGTAATCTGTTCCGAGGTATCATATTTATTGCACTGCCCTACTTTGGGTCTTGCACAATACTCTACCCCCCTTTCTCTTTATCAGTTGATCAAAAACAGGTATTGTTATGCAACATCTGCTCAAACAATAATCTAACATTGCTCGAAGCATTCTTACACACAAATACCTAGTAGTAGGAAATACATTAACCACATTTCAACCATCAAAACACCCACCAGAACAACCACATCCACTCCGGCCTGCACCAACAGGTCCAGTCTGTACTTGTCGTCCTCCCTGGTGCCGATGGCGGCTCCACACAGCAGCTGTTTGCGTGGGTCTTTGGAGGCCAGCGGGTAGTCTCTGTTCTTCTTCAGATCTGTCCTGGCAATAATGGCCACCAGCTCGTCATTATTATTTACGATGGGAAGCTTGCCTGGTAACAAAGAAAAGTAGGTAATTAAATGTCATGATAGTGAAAAGAAAAAGCTGCTGTCGCACACACATGCACTTTTATTCACCTTTTTTACTGCGCTGCAGGATATCATTGGCCTCCTTCAGAGTAACACCGGCTGGGGCCACAGTCAACTCATCCCTCTTTGTCATGGCCTTGGGGATGTTTGATAAGAAACAATCAATAAAGTGAAACATTTTTAAACGTATGGATGTACATAAGTTGGTTTGTTATTTTATTAAACACACACCTCTTCCAGAGACTTGCCGTGGTCTTTCTCAGAGAGGAAGTCGATATCTCGGGAGGTGACGATGCCCACCAGTTTGCTGCCCATTTTGCCCGTCTCTGTGACAGGAATACCAGAGAAGCCATGTCTAACTTTGGCCTCAAACACATCCCCCACTGTGTGGCGTGGACTCATCACCACTGGGTCTGTGATAAAACCCTGTTCAAACCTCTGGAAAACCAAGAGAGAATAAACAGAATTATAATCCATATTATTTCCCCTTACATTGTGCAACGCAGCCCAAAACACCACACACAATACAAACTAAAAATAAAACAAAAGTAGCAAAACAAAGACACACAAAACAATTACCATAACCTATACAGGGACAGTACAAGAAAACAAGAATGGTCAGAGGAATGGTTCATATGAAAGTAAAAAAAAAGGTTTGATTAAAGTACTTTTACTTAATTTAGTCAGTATACATATTTTAATTAGTACCAAATGGTGATGACAAGAAAACATATACAACTAAAACTACAAATAATATTTAAGAAAAAGTCATCATAGTTTACCTTGACCTTGCGGACCTCGTTGGCTTGGAATTCTGGTGTGCAGTTATGGTGAATCATCCCAATGCCTCCCATTAGCTACAAAATAAATGCAAATGTATATTTGAATTAATTTCTAAATAAAATTGAGCAATACATTTAAATCTGGGCTAAATATTTTTAGCTGATGTGGGACAAGCAGTCTCTTACCGCCATAGCGATAGCCATAGCTGACTCTGTAACAGTGTCCATGGGGGAGGAGATGAGAGGAGTCTTTAATGTGATCTTCCTGGTCAGCGCTGATGTCAGGTCCTGAGAGACAAAAAAAGAGGAGAACATGCATTTTATTGTCTTAGCAAGGAGTTTTTGGTCATGTTTGACATGTTAACCACCAGGGGGCAGACTTTACTCACAGACTCAATATCATGTACAATTGTGTCTTAAGGTGGTTATACATAACTCTGTTTTGGGTGACAGTTAAGGTCATGGATGCAAGTAAGGCCAATTCAAGCAAACTTTAAAACAAAATGTAAGTTAGAGCCTACAGAATGTAAGCTTTAGTGTCTCATTAGGTTGTGAGCAAAATCAACTGTGTGGGTCATAGAAAACAGTCCTTCCTCTCAGAGACAGAAACCTGGCTAAGTGTGGAAAAATGAGCCACTCTTGTATCTCAGCCACATTTAGCATCAACATCCTACAGACTCCCACAACAGCCAACACCGGTTTTTGCTATCTTCAACTGTGTGAAAAGAATTCCTTGCACATGGGAATGACTTTTGTGGTGTCCAAGCTTTTCGTCCTTATCTGTGGCCGACATAAACTAGGGAGGCTTTTCTCAGGGGTTCATGGACACGGCAGAGTAACCTAACACCACATGTCCTTTAACGAGTGCACCAACCTGCTAAATTCAACCGAAAGTTAGGAAAACATCTTTAGAACATCACGATCCAGGAGGAACAGCAACAGGCACATGTGGCCCTTCTTCATGTTTCCAGCACCTTACACGGTGCACAAAAGCTACATATTATATTATAAATTGCGACACGGTCTACTGAGTCGTTGTGGGAACATTGACTGCTCCGTTCAAAGTGGCAGCCAAATGTGGAATCATTTGTTATTCAAGCTTGGATAGACTCACTATCCAGTGGAAAAACTAGGGCAAGACAAAGACTCTGTTGAGACCTTGACAACACGGCAAGGCTGACAAGCATCTCACACAGCAACCAGACTTTCTGTAACTCTGAAGGAAATACACAGATATCAATTCAATTAAAATCCACTGAGATGGACGAAGCAGAAGAGAGGGATTTCATCTAAAGCTCAGAGATTAACTCTCCCCGTCATATGCGGAGAGAGGTGGACGAGCAGCCGAGCAGACACAGATGTAAACACCAGGGTGAGGGAGCAGCCGCTGGGTGACCACATCGGGCAAAAATAGCCAGGCAGAAGGGAGAGGAGGGATGATGCAGCGGTTTAAAAAAAGAAAAAAGGGGGAGAAAAACAAGAGTATTATTGAAAGAGCTGCCATTATCGTTGAGGTCTGGAGTAAAGAGGTTTCTATAAAAAGGCTCTGTAATAACGGCAGATGGTTAAGGAAGTGGTTCTGCCAAGAAGGCTCTGTCGGCTGCCACATCATCACGAGGGGAGTGGAAGAAAACTGAACAAATCATTAGCTTGTCCTTCGAAATAACCAGGAGGGTTCTTACTCAGATGTGGCAGATACTTGCAACCATCTTCTGCCAAAGCCACCAACCCTATGTGCCCTTTTGTGCTCTCCATTATGTCATTCACACATATGTGTACTTACCACTTCGTCCGAGGTAAAGTCAATGAAGCCAGGTAATATCAGGAAGTCACTGAAAGACATAAGCAAAACGTCACTTAGCATCTCTGTGAGAATATGAGCATCCATTAAAATACCAAAAGCTAAGGAGCCTTTCATGCTTAATCAAACATGAACAATGTAATATATCCTGCTAAATATCTCAAATGAAAACAGAGAACTTAATAGTTTTCCAGCTCACAGGGCTAATTAAAAAGTTGACTGAGAACTATTGAACAAGATTGTGTTTTAAAGAAGGTTTGAACCACATGACTGATTTAGATCAGATAACTTTACTCGTTAGACATATATGTAGTTTGTCATTACCTGATCTCTTTCCACTCATTTGCTTTTGTATACCAATTTCAAGTAGTAAGCCAGAGAGCCTGAACATAGTGTTGGGCAGTCTTTCATGTCTCCTCATGGTTCTCAGAGTATTGCTCAGTGGCTCAGTATAGACACCTGTACTTGGTGAAAAGCTACAGTCGCTCTCGCTCAGCTCTTAGACTGTATAAGCAAAATGAGGAGGGAGGTTTGGATGAGTGGGAGTGCAGGCGCTAAACACAGGAATGGTGAGTTTGTTTTCCAACCAGTCTGTACGCATTTTGTGGGTTTTGCAGATTGGTGTGAAAACAGGGCAGGGAACACGTGGCAACACGGAGGAATAAGGGGGGCTGTGTGTGCCACGTGAAGGGTGTTGAGGGAAACTACAGAGTGGGGGTATGTGAAACCGGTAGATGGTGAGCATTGCAGGTGGACAAAACAGGATATAGATGACAGATCAAAGGAAAGAAGAGGACTGCATCAGTTCTCTAGTGCCTCAAGTGTGGTTGGAAGTAAAGTCTAAAATAGTCACACAAGTTGCGTCGCTAGAAGGGAGGAGTCTTGAGTGTTTGTTCCCCCTCACTTAAAGCGGGCCGCTGACGTCACAGCCCTCTTAAACGGGGCTCCGGCCAAAACATCAACATTGAGACGACCAGGAAGTCTAGCACACATCTGCTAGTGTTTAGCAGCAGCCACAAACCTCAGCTGCACCTACTGACTCAGGACCAGCACTCCACCAGAGCTCATTTATTTGAATTCTAAAGACATCACTGGCTTGGTGATGCCTTATTATGGTTTTTATTTGAATGTAGGCAAATGTGTGATGCTAATCGGTAGTGTTTCAAGTACAACCAGAAGCCATACCTGAAACATTCCTAATTGTACAGTTTTCCTGTCTTTGCACTGGCATAACAAGCAATAAACCTCAAAGCTTTTTTTTTTAATATGAAAAACAGCTGTGAGCTTGGCATGCTCATGCTAAGAGATGTTACTCATGGGGTGAATCCCAATGAGCAGCTGCATGTCTGCCTCTCATCGCTTTCACAAGGTTTCACTATTGTTACCAACAGTTAGCAGCAGGAATACATTAGCTGACAGAAGGAAGACAACAGTCAGAAATATGTGCTCTTATCTTAGGACAGCCCTACCTGTCAGGTAATCACAAAATGGTGGTTGATATAGAATCATTATTTACTAGGCATAGGGTGGGGTTTGCCTCACTTAACAATAAGGCTTTAAAAAAAAGTGAGACAGAGTTTATGGGTCAATAAAGGATACAGTACGTGATTAGAGTAAGCTCTGGACAAACTTTGAGCCAACGGATAGAATACACAGTATGTAGATGTGTAGCATAGAGTGTATGGTTTTAATTATATGGTTTGTTTAGACTTGTGTGAAAGACCCAATGTTTAACCGACAGCCTGAGGCTTGTGTGAGAGTTTCAAGAGGCACATTTTAGATACACAAATCTTAAGTGAACACATTTAACAGTGTCCAAATGTGTTCACTACTCTTATTTACAAAAGGTTGAGCTAAAAACTGCACTGACGCTTTTTTGGGTTATTTTAGGAGTATTGACAGAACTACACAAGTTCAGAAGTACCTCTGATTAAAAAGATGTTAACAATCACACCCAGGACATGATTTCTGCACCTAGTTGAAAGTCACAATACAACAGGAAGCAGTTTCTCATACAAAGCTGCCTTCATGCGTTTCACTTTCTCTGGGTGGCTTGCTTCCTTTTCCCTCAACTAAAAAAACAAACAAAAGAGAAACTAAAAAGATGTAATAGTAATAACCTGCCTAATCATTTTCTTAGATACAGTACCTGTGATAGGATTTAAATGTTGATCAAGTCAACGGGGAGTTAAGATAAACAGGAAAAGTAGTCAGAAGTTTTAAGCAGTAGAACTTATTCCAGCAGCATCCCCCAATTCCTCCTGCATTCACATGATGTCAATTCCAGCCATCATGTGCGCAAACCTTGCTTTGGTCGTGATGCACTTCATTACAGTGTGGAAAGAATTACACGCGGACACACTCAAACGCCATGACTTTTTCTGTTCAATTAGCTGCTGAAAAGCAACAGCAGCGTGATCAGAGCAAATCATTGGTGGATTTTTAGCCAATTAAACCTCCCCACTGAGCTTGAATTGCTTAAATCAAAATGGAGTTTTGTCGTGCAGACGATAATGCAGTATGGAGAATTATATACCATATATTGAGAATTAAATTGAGTCATTTTCAGGGAACTCTGAGAGGGCATCTTAAGCATTGATTGTAGTGGTTATAGAGGTAAAGAACAGTGATGATTCAGGAGACAGTTTAAGAAGAAGAAAGGCATGCTTCTTAGTGTCCAACAACCACTACAATTCAGCTGCACAATGCTTTGCTTCTTGTTATTTGTGATGGAGAAAATGAAAGGGTGATAAGAAGGATTAATGAAGAAAATCATGTCAGTCAAAACGCATTATGAGTTCAAAAAGATAGATTATTCCTATTTGTCACCAGAATGCACACCAGAGCTGAGTGAGGTTAAGTAAGAAATGAGAAATTAGTAACTCAATCAAAGCAAAGTGTGTGTAAGAAAGTGCATGAGCTGTTCTGTGATGCATGTTGCATTCACAGGACAGGTCATGCACTTTGATGGTTAGTTGTAGTAAATAATGCAATTATGTCCACTGGAAGCAAATTTGATCCCCATGACCAAGATCAGGTTTATCATTGCAACAAGCCCTCCATTTACATTCTGCATTCATGCACTATTATGACACCAGATTACATTTGTGGCACGTTTGATGTAAGTCAAAGTAAAGGTGCTTTAGAAGGACTGTCATTTGCTTCCCCTTTATGAATATACTTTTTGTAAAAGGATTTGCAACAGCACAGTTTCAAAACAGTTTGAAGATGACTGTTCTACTCACTTGTAAGTCAACCCATCTCCTTTAGAGCATAGCTCTTCAGCCGTATGACCATCGGAGACAACGCACTGTTGGTCAGATCTGCTGGTTCAAAATGTGTTGGCCATTACAAAGCACTGCTGCGCACACTTCACCCACCACTGCGCGTAGGTGAGGTTTGAAAATAAGGAGACCTTACTTTGAAATAATTAAATAATTGTACTTAGATTTTTTCGGAAAATCAAATTAAAGTTTGCATTGCAGAGAATGTGAGGGAAACGTACTTGTATGTAAGGCCATCTCCAACCGAGAAGAGCTGCTGAGCTGAGAGTCCATCTTCAGGGACGTAGCCTGTCCCACCGCTGATTAAGTAATCCGCCATGCTGACAAATGAAAAAGAGAGGCACATTCAATCAACTGTGAAACCCAAGACTCGGATACAGATGTGTAATTTAAGGTAGAAAAAGGATGCTCTGCAAGAAAACAATACATCCATTTTGGAGACAGAGCTTTGGTGACCTTCTGGGCAGGAAGACATAACCATAGCAACATCAACACCCCCCCCACCCAGCAGCAGGTCAATGCGCCTGTGTGAAAAATGCATCTGCTTGCAAAAATAAGACACTAATAATCCGGCAATAAACATTTAATTAAGGCATTGTTTTTATGACTGCTGCAGAGACACAATTGAAAGAAATGTTATTTAACATTAGATCACGCAAATACAACATAAGCAATATTCAACTGTGATTTAGTGCCAAGATCCTTTCTGTCTCTACAAAACTGTTATTAAGATAAAACGTGCACGTAAGGGAAATGACAGTGCAGTATTCCCCATGTGTGGAGCTAAAAATTGTCGGTTGACCCACTAACATTTAGTTGAACCACTATAGCAAAAAAACTGTTGGGGAAAAAAAAGGTAATGGTAAAAGCTTATCAGGTGAAACATTTACTAGAGAAGAAATAACTAACCTCAAAATGTAGTATTGTCTGGACTTGAGCGGTGTAATTTAGATACTGTCCTTGTAGTGACCTACATCATGTTATCAGTAGCTAGCAAACAGCTGCTTGCAATGCATGGCCCTGGTAAACAAATACTTCAAACCGGTCTTTGATGTGTATACAGTAAAACGGTGAGCCAACACCCTTCCTACTGCTGATCCCTGTACAATATCCATGCTAGGATCCCACATCTGTCACATCAGGAGCCCTGGTGGTTAACCATTTAGTAAACTGACATATCCACGAAGCAGCACCTAAGCATCCATAAATGTCGTTTTTAGAGTTGGTTACATTTCTTGTAACTCACCACCAAGTACAATCAAGCAAACCTAAATGCAGTGGTGGAAGTACATTTACTCAAGTAATGTCCTTACGTAAAAACAGAGGTACTTTCCTTGAGTATTTTCACAATATGCTACTTTATACTTTTACTCGACTACATTTTGTAGGCAAATGTTTTACTTTTTACTCCATTTATTTTACAGATTTAGTTACTAGCTACTTTTCAGATTTAGATTATTAAAAAAAAATATATAAATTAGCCACTACATTAGCATATAATGATTATAGGTTGGGCTACACAGTAGTATAAAGTCATTAAAATAAACCCTACTTTTACCAACTGCAACATTAAAATGATGAACACATAACTTAATCAATATTTTTTATAAAATAATTGGTGCTTAAATGGGCCATCCTGCATAATGAGTACTTGAAGTATATTTTGTTACCAATACTGTTTAACTTTTAGTTAGTACAATTTAGAATGTAGGACTTTTAATCCTTCCACCTCTGCCTAAATGTAAATAGGAATAATCTGGGAATCAGTACACCAACAGTAAAGGTTGAGATTTTGAGAGTTCAGTACATGCCGAATTGAAGGGTGGCTATTGTTATGTGCTTGAGAATCTTAAAATATATTTTCAATGCGACAAATATTTTTTAATATACGTAGAAAGTATTTTTTGCGGATTTTTGAAGGTAGTTTGGTGATGCGTTCATGCGCAGGTCTGGTGTCATGCCACCAGAATGTGTGCATGATGATAAGCCTATATTTAACATTTTCGAAATACGAAGCACGTGTGATGTAGAGTATTTAGCGTAAATTAACAAGAAAATACACCGTTAAAAGTTACACGTTCTTAAATCATCGCATTAAATAATTACATGTTTGCATGGTCACCGCAAAAATAGCTAGTTAACACTTTAAGCCCTAGCCCCTGGGTAACAATGCCTGTGATGTTAGCTAACCGGTAGCCTGAGGATTGGATGACCAGTCACAACAAACAACTAGCCGGCACATGCTGTGATGTACATGACAAATACAAAGTCGATATTTTACACAAATATTATATCTTCACAAACACAAACGACACCCAGTTCACCTCATATAACCCGTTACTAATGTATTCATAATTTACATGACAACGTTAACATTAACAATCATTTAAAAAATGGTATGGCAGTTATATAAAATCCCCAATTAGTGCTACTATAAGGGTCCCAGCTGCTGCAGGTGTTAATAATCCTTAGATACATGCAGTCCGCAGACCAGACATGAGCTCAGTGCAGACTGCAGACATGTGGGAGCACCGTTAGCATTTAGCATTAGCAGCTTGGTTATTTGTAGTTTGCCAACGAAAAACGCTTCCTTAAGACGTTAAAGCAAGGTTGTCTACCCTTACGTATATTAACAAGTGGTATACACCGTGTAGCATCTTAGCTAGCGTAAATTCAAACATCTTTTATAACCCGAGTACGTTTAGCTAGCTAACCTTTTTGGAGCTGATGCCCACGTTGACCAAAAGGAAGCAACTTTCCAGCTGTGAATCTACAAGGCGGGGGGGGGAAGCGATGATAGAGACAATAATTCCTTCTACCTCGAAAGACAACCTCGATGAAAAAAACTTCGTGGCTCCAAGATGTAAAAGTAGTGGTTGGCAGTAAAGTGAGTGAGAAGTGCTTGCCTGCTGTCGCTGCAGACAGTGCGTGTTGCTGTTATGTACTAGCAGCAGCAGCGTCACATCCCCTCTCTCCTCACTCAGAGGCGGGTTTAACCCTCTGCATGTTCCTGCTGTGAAATCAGCCCCAACAGTATGAAGCCACAGTTAACCACGTGGAAGTGTTGCTGACCGGTTCATCAGAGAAAAGTTAATTGAGTTTAAGTCTAAGGGCAATTGGAAACCAGAACATGTTGTTAGAGTATATGCGGTTACTTAGATAAAAACATTTAAATCCAGAGGTGGGACAAGTACTATGTTGTACTTAAGTAGAAGTACCAGCTTGTAGGAATACTCTGTTACGAGTAAAAGTCCTATATTCAAAATGTTACTCAAGTAAAAGTACAAAAGCATTAACATCAAAATATATTCAAATGAGTAAAAGTACTCATTATGCAAATCAAGCAATTTTATAATAATATGTATATTATATGATTTGATTATAATTATTTATGCATAAATGTGTTTATCAAAGCTGGTAAAGGTGCAGCTAGTTTTAATTACTTAAAGCTTATGAATGTTACTCCATGTGTAACTAAAGTCTGATTTAAGGGTTGCATATAATTCAAATCATTCATCCAAATCTGCAAAGTAACTAAAGATATTTAATACATGTAGTCGAGTAAAAGTATATTATTTACCTCTGAATTGTAGTGGGGGAGAAGTACAAAGCAGCAAACAAAAATTGAATACTCAAGTACAGTACAAGTACCTCAAAATTGTAGTTTAATCCAGTACTTGAGTAATTGTACTTAGTTACTTTACACCAGTTTAAATTATATTTTATCGTTGGAGATTTTGGCAGAAGTATAAGATTACTTTTTACTTTCAAGTACATTACTTGATTGCTTTTATCATTCATCTTTATCCTTCCACTACATTTCCTAGCGGAAATATTATTATTTTTACAGATAAAAAGGCACTTACTTTCTAATGTTGACCTACCAGCCGTGTCATTTTATAAAATACTATAGATTGTCATGGATTACTCGTAAAAAAAATCCCTAACATATATCCATAAAATGCTGCTTACCTGTTATGATATATAAATAGTTATTATCCAATATTATAATATATTACATATCAATGACAAAATATTGCTGCATAATGAATACTTTAAAAAATATTGAATTGAAAATACGTACTTTTACTTGAGTAGCATTTAGAAAACAGAGCGTTTACTTGTAATGGAGTACTTTTACACTGTGGGGTTGCTAATTATAAGTAAGAACAAAGAACCTCCATTCCCATTGGGGTCAGGCAGTTGGAAGCAAAAACTTCTCTTTTTTGTATACACTTTTTGCAAATGTTTACTATACTTTATCGATAAATATTCAGTGAAACATTAGTGTGAGTAAATGGTAATGTGAAACTTGTAAAAACGTTTCAATAGGAAATCATGTGGCTAAGCAACTATCACAGATAAAGTGAAATGGATATGTGTGCATTGGTTTTCTTACTGCCATTACACCTTTCATGCCTTCATTTCCCTTGATTTAGAGAAATGTCACGTGAACTTAAGCAGCGCTGTCGGATTTCTAGTCACATGTAGATCATCTTAATTTGATTAAGTGTACTGACAAGCCAGCACCGATCACATTTGATTCACATGATAACAATTGCATGAGGTGTGCAGAGAAGCCGCACGAGGAACAAAATGTCTTGAAATAAATCAAAATGACTTTCCCTTTTTGACTGGTTATAAAAATGAACTGAGTCATAAATTGTGAATCCCTAGAAGTGTATGTGCTTTCATTTCAAAGTACTGCATTAGTTAAAGAAATACAACTAGTTCAACCACTACCTAAAAGGGCACATTGGGTCACAGAGCTCCTTTCATCAGGTCATGTGACATCTAATGAGTAGGGTTGGATTTATGAGCAGTAGTCTTTCAAGAATACACCCAAAAGCTGCAATCCCCATTATGCTCTACATGAGATAAGTGTTGGACAGTCATTTAACTTTCTGACAAAGACAATAAAACATTGTGTCTTTCCAGCTACTGCTCATTGCTTGACTGAATGCCAGCATGCAGCTTGTCATCCATTTGTCAGCCACATAAATGGTTGGGATGAGCCGCTGACAGAAAATCATGATTACTTTCTCACAACTCAGCTTCACTGAGCAGAGTCAAATGTTTCATTATTAATAACGCTTTATGTGGAACAGCTGCCAAATTTGAAAGCAAATAACTTGTTATCACCTCTGTGATTTATTAGGGCTCGCTTCACTGAAACAGCCCATTACGTAACTCTTGACGACTGGCCTTTCTTGTTTGATGATTATTTCTTGAAGGGAAGTTTCACTGATTACATTTCAATTATTGAATGCAATAGAGAACCACGTGGTCTTTCCTGTAACCTAATATGCTGCACAGTTCTCTTGTTGTATTAAGGTTGTTGGATTTGTCTGCCAAGGTGACTCAGGGGATCTGTTTCCAACTCTATGTTGTTTCAAATTAAATGGGTCATTGCAGATATGGGTCAGTGGTTCCTTTTATGCACTATAGCCATTCCGAGCAGTTGATTCAGTCTTTCCTATCCTCTCTGCAGCATGCAGCCAACTCCTGTCTTTTTGTTGCATCACAGAATTGTCACAAAGGGCAGTTAAAAATAGCACCGGACGACATATCTTTCTGTTTAGTATTTGCTTATTAGAAATAAGTATTGAGGCCTACAAACAACAACCAAATGAGTGTCATCATAAACAAGGAGTTTAACTTCAAGCGCATTTGCAAACTGATCTAAATGCAAGTGTGTGCGGACATGTAAACTGACCCGATGGCATGCCAGTCATTTACATGTGCAGCATTATGAAGGCACAGCCATGAAAGGGAATCACAACAGCTAAACGATCATTGTCTTTTTATTTCACATTTTCTAATGAGGGCTGTTATTACTTTAACACTTTTTTTTCATTTAAAGTTTTGCTTTTGCACTTACATTTTCATAAAATCAAGACTAATCCTTTTAGCTGTAAAATCTAAAAAGAGTTGGACCTTTTATAAATGTGTTTACGAGCTCCTACTCTTCCTGGCAATAAATGAATCCTGCAGCAGGCACCTTTGCAATCAAAACTGTGTTTATAATAAAACAAACAGGTATATTTAAACCTTTTAAATTGTTTTAGATGCACCCAAAGCTCAAGCTACATAAACCTTCTCAGAGACTCACCTCTCTGGGCCTAGTCCTGCCTGGATGCGTGTGGCGCTGTATCTCTGGGCTGCAGTTTCATGCCCATGTCCATGTGAGGTTTGCCGGACAAAGACTTCACATCCCCGGGTTGAAACGTCGGCACATGGGGGCTGAGTTTCTCCAACAATTCTCTGATAATCCTTCTGGCTCTCCCTCGCTGCATCTGCACCAAAGTGCTCATGACCATACCCCTCCATCGTCCGTCCAAGGTCAGTCTCTGAATCCAGTGCCACCGTTTGCTTGCTCTTCAACAGAATTTCAGTAAAAAGATCCAACAGCTGAAGGTTACATCTGTGTCAAAACAGTTTGAATTCATATGAACTTCTTAGTTTGGCTCAAAAGAAGCAGGTACAATTTGGAAAATGCCCACTTTGTTTCTAAATATCCTTATCTGAATTCTAGTGTTTGTTCTATTTACTTTCAAGAACAGATATGGAGCTTAAGAGGAAAACGGAAAAAATACCAGTCAGGCTCCTCCGTCTGCCCAGGATGCACCTGCCTACAAAAAGACACCAGCCACCTCTAGGCGTGTCAGTAGAGGGCGTCACCTAGGAGATTCTCCCACTGAGAGGGTGTCACCGTGGAAATGATGCCAGCAGGAGAGCGTTGTTGTGGAGAGGCTGATGTCTTCGAAATCTTGAAGGAGTTTTCCTTTCATGAAGGCAGAGGGTATAATGGAAAGGGTATATGCGCCCTGCACAGTGTGTACACGCAGGATAAAGCCACCATTGCCCTGAGCGCTTCTCTACAAGTAGAGTGCTACTGAGTGCTCCATGAAGCTCTATGTCTTGCTCCCTCTCTATGGGTTAATCCTGCTTTCTATCGTGGCACCACGTCACTTTCACAAAGAGGATTTCAGAATTAAAATGAACAGGAGCGGAGATGAGCTCTGCGAAGAGAGCAGCACATTTTCACAGCAAGACCATTACTGTGGTGGGTTATTTGTATCCATCTGAGTGGGCTCCATTAAACCAAATACATGCAGCAAACCTAGCATTTCTGCAATTATTTGGGAAGAGTTTTTTGGGTACAACTCTTAAATTATACACTTTGTGCAGACCTCACAGAAAACGGGGGTGTCCAATCCATTGCTGAGTGAAACTGAGGCTTTAGAATGAGCCTATGTAAAAACCACCACAGAGGCCGAGGTTAGCCCCACATGCTAATACAATGTACCTTGACGCTGCTAGGTGAAGCTTGCACCAACGTGTCAGTGTTACATAATCAAAAGAGTACATCCACGTGTTTTCTTTCATCACCAACCTGTTGTACCCATGTCAATGGTTTCTTTCTAACATCAGTAATGAATGTTAGCGTCTGCCTTTGTGGGTTGTACAAACAGTAGGGAATATATATAATAAATGCATTGACTTATTCAAAATTCATGTTTCTTTTGTGCAACTTGTCCACAGTTTAGCTAATGGAAAGGATTCCCCTCCACATTCACAGAGGTGTCTGTAATCCTGCTTAAAGGGATCACCTCCAGGTGACAGACTGTTTGTGACAGTTGGTAGGACGTTAAGATGGACAATCCTCTTAGGCCAGCCCTCTGAGGTTCCCCACTTCCCCCACTTAGAACTATCTTGAACACATGTTAACAGAAACCCCTCACCAACACAATGCAGATAACAGATCAGGATTTACTAACATGGAGACACTCTAAAGTAGCCTATATAGCACAGACGGATAGACAAACTCCTGCTCCGAGGGTGGACAATTGCTGCTGTTGTACCTTCAAATCACGTTATCAATGGCATTAAACGCTTCGTGTCTCATGAACTCAAAGGGATGGGAGCACACTCATTTCTTATATGCATGTCGTCAGGCGGTGCACGGTTCTTCCACTCATTCAATT